GGTTGGACTCGATGATCTTAGAGGTCTTTTTCAACCTCAATGATTCTATTCTATATCTAGTCTCAATCTACCCCCCTTTAGTTTAAAGCCATTCCCCCTTGTCCTGTTTTTGGTTAATAGTGTTAGACCATTGGGATTTTAAAATTGGTTTTCAGTTTCTCTTTCAGGAGAAGAAAAAATGTCTCTAGTTGATATCCTATTATGATTTAACTGATTAACTGTCTGATTAGTTAGTTTTGCTTAAAGACAGTTCAGCAAAAATCAGAAAAGCCGTATGAACAATGTTTAGAATACTACAGGCATTTTCTGCTAGAGGATTATTTCATTTATTATAAAGCTCTTCAGTGCAGTAATTGTGCCATTGGAAATAGATTACAAGGCTTGTTTCAAATCCTGGATTAAGTTACAAATATTGGTAGTCCTTTTTGTTGCTTTTGTGCATATCACACGCATGATAATTTTTAACATAAGCATTAGTGTCAGCATGAAAAGGACTTGTGTGACTATGGAATAGAACTGATTGTAAAAACTTGAATACAGAAATTTGCAGAATGGTGTTTATCTTAATTTGGCTCCTTATGTTACTGTTTTTAGTACTGTGTAATCACCAAAAAAAAGCAGAAAAACAGTACTTTGAAATGTCATCAAGGTTTGTTAGATTTTCTGTATCATGCTTTGAATTGCAAAATACTAAACGTTTAGCAGGTCATCGTCAGTAGTGGCTCCAACTAACTCTTCAAATAGGTAGTTCAGGAACAAGTTAGGGCAGAAACTTTTGAATAGGACAAGCGTGTGCACTCCTCAGCACCTGAACTTCATTTTCTGTCCCCTGCTCCCCGCCCCTTTCAAGCATGAATGCATGTGAGAGAGATGGGGAATGCTTTCCAATTTCCATATTCTCCGTTTCTCGTTAGTGGTAGCGTATTTGTATCGTAGTGTATCGCATTGCTCTCTGGGACGACTCCTTTCTTGTTTCCTTTTTTACCCTTCCGACAGTCCTCTTTCATCTACTTTTAAAATTAATTTTCTCCAGCAGTGTAGCAACCACTTGGCTTGTTCATCTGGATTGTGCCTGGCCTGCGGAGCCAGTACTCGGAGAATCTCGCTGTACGGTTTCTTCATTCTAACAAGTGGGGCCACAGGCTTTTTCCACGCAGTCTTCTAGGTTAGATGTTAGACTTAATCTGCCTGTGCTGTGGACCCCTGATTATGATTAAGATGATATCCCTCACCTTGAGAAGAACAGGCACATTTCCTAATCTGTTTTATGCTGATGTGTATCTTCAATAAATAGTTGAAACATGAGGAATTAGGAGATATGCAGA